GATGGGGGATGCGGGGTGGGGGATGCGGGATGCGGGATGTGGGATGCAGGATTCAGGATGTGAGATGGGGGCTCCTCCCGGTCCCCACCTCCTCCAGGCCCCAGTGGCCTCAGCCCGCAGTGGGGAGCTCCTCATGTAAACAAGGAGGGGGGCATTTCTCCACTTTGGAGGCCACAAGCGAGCAAGCAAATCCATGGGGTCTCACAGGTTGCCTCGTGCCAGATGCGCCCCGTAGGTTGTTTGTCCCAGGATCTTCACAGAAAGGTTGTTTCTCCTTTTCTTCTTCCTTTTCTCATTTCCCTCTTTTTTCTGAAGCAGGGAGACGGTCCAGAAGTGAAATTTCCATCAGAGGTCCCCACCTGAGGGGCTTAATGAAGGATTTTTGCAGAGGAACCCCAGTTAAGCCCCTGGCAGAGAAGGGATGGATGTGCACAGAGACCTACAGCCCCCACCCCACAATACAGCTGCTGCATTCAATAGGTGGCTGTGCTTTGATTTTTGAGACTTGTAGGTAGAAAACCCAAAAGCTGAGGAGCTTAATACCCAGGCCTGCTTTTCAGAGCAGCTTGCCACCTGCGTGGGACAGGAGAGCGGAACCCCAGAAAGCTGCTGGGCAATGGCAAAAGCTGCAATCCCTGGGACTGCTCTGGGTCCAGGTCCCTGCGTGCACGGTGGGAGAAATAAGGGGAGACCAGCGCCCCCCCCCGCCCCGAGACCCTGTGAGATCTGACCACTGGCTCACCCATAGGGAGGGACACCCCAGTTCAGTGTGGGGCATGGATAATTCCAGCTTCACCAGTATAAAATTGATTTTCGGGCATTAGAAAGCAAGTCTTAGCCTGCCGATGCCACAGACATGTCAAAGTGGGCCACTGAGGCCTGAGGACCACATTTAATGAAAATGATGAATTCTTGCGCTTGAGTCAGCCCGAGCCAGGGGTCCGGCACTGCAGCATCTGCTGGGGCTGGACAGCCCCCGCCCCCCCCCACCCGCCGGTGACAGT